ATTTGATCTGCATACTCCAGTGCTCGTCAATTAAATCCCACCCCTTCATTTTTCAGTTTTCTGACTTGTTTCGAAAATTTCGCAGTCAGCATAACAACCATCGTTTTCGGCGTGTCTGAAAACTAAGAATGGTGTTGTGGGATTTTTGTTAACGCTTGGATTCGAACTGCTCTGTTCTTTTGAAGACTAGCTCATTTGCCAACATGATGTCAAAATGACATTTGTTTTCGACTAGAACTCTATGTGGAAGAGAGTTGATCTGCTGCCGCGCTTTGGCTGTGAGCTATAGATTCAGATTATGCACAGCATTTCAAACTAATGTACCATGTAAGCAACAAAAAAATTAAGTCGAAAACAACCAGGGCGGCCCAGAGATTGTGCACCCATCTAATAGTAAAGCTAAACTTGAATACCTACTTTCATATCTCCAATCGTCGGAGTCGGAATCGGAACACCTGCGGTCTACTGTCCAAGGACATTCCGTCTAACCATAAGAAGACATGATGTATTGGTATTATACATTTTTCGCATTCACAATTTTTCAATGGACCACTACTCCTTGACCGAAAGTGGTCTTTTCGAACTACGGATACCTTCATCTTACTCTGAGATTCTTCACTGAATGAAAATTAATGCACATGCAACTTGGCATTGTCGTGCAAGCAGTGCAGGAAGGTTCGAAAGGATGAGGAAGGCCTGCATCTGTTGAACAAGTAGAAAGATTCATTGCCAGCCGCGTGCCCAAGTGAACCACAAATTCAGCTGAGTCACCTAGATTCTGACTGTACGTATAAGTGTCAGGTGAGTCTATAGTTCAAAAAGCTCTCGAAGTGCGTATGGCACTGGCCACTCTGAAAAGTAAGCTTGGATCCAGTTTGATAACTCCTACTAATATATGCAGCCAATAGCGTTTTTCTAGCCGCATTGGTTTTCCATGATCACCTCTTCTTCCTCTAATTTTTGTCCACTTTGTGCAACAATCATCACCGTCGCTGCAATTAAAAAAACAAGAGCTTTCATGAGATGAATAAAGCAGTCAAGGGATTGAAGAGCTTCTAGAGTTATGAATGCCAAAGAAGGGGCTGTTTATTTGTTGCTCAATCGAAAAAGAACAGCTTCGTGCGCACTCATGGCCAGGCCGGCGCGTAGTTATCTGGAGTATCACTTTGGAACCTTCGAATGATTGAATAATAAGCATTACAAAAATATCGCAAATGATATCGAATGCACTAAAACGGATGCAGATTCGTGCACGGACATAGATCATCGGGTCCAAAATTCAAGTTACCAACTTTTTGCTGGGAGCTGGCGATTTTTCTGAAGAGCTTCATCGGTGGGCTTCGAGTGTGCAGCAGTTTGGGTTTCAGAAGCGTTGCTGGACGAGGTCGCATAGCAGCTGGCGTCCATTCGAAGAAGCGCTAGTCAGAGAGGCCTTCGCCATCATCGAGCACGATGACAGGTTATTCGAAGAGGTGGCCGATTTACTCGCTTTTTCCCCTCAACCCCATTGTCAGCGTATATCATTAACGCAATTGACGAGCAAACGATGACCTCACAAGGCGATGATGGATTCATCGCCAGCTCTGTCCAGCGCAGCTACAATAACGAACCTGTTCGCAGCGAAATCCTAACGGGTTGTGTTGTACATAGTACATTCCAGGAACTATTTTTTCCCTTTTATTATCGTTCTGACGAAGAACGTTGATCCTGCAGGTACTCCTAGATACAAAGGCCAAACAGCTGAGGCAGAACTACACGATAGCTCCACTTTTAGAGAAAGAGTAAAGAAAAGAATGTTTAGGAGCAGTTGACAGAGCAGCGGCAGAGAAAATGACCGAAAGAAAATGTTCCGAGCGTCATCAAGCGGGACTTCACCGAGCCGCCACACCTCTTACGTGTCTGGTTAGGTACGTAGCAGCTCTTCTTGATTCAGAAAACAAGTCCCCGATCATCTGGAACTCGCACAAAGGAGGCCGGGGATAGTCGGGGATGGGCGGACACCGCTTTGATGTGTTCCCCATCTTCTTCGCCACTAAACTTCCTCAAAGTCGTTGACAAAAGGTTTTCTCACTCTTGCGTTTCTAAACTTTGAGTGGCTCTAAAGCTACGTCGGGCAGAGATTTACTGGGATCGTCAGCATTCTTAGAATCTACTTGGACTTCCTTTGAGCGCTTTCTCCCACCAATCTCGCAATGTTGTCCCCTTTCAAACTTTATGGGATTTCGTGCACTGTGCAAGCACCTTACGTCTACCGCCATGAACAACTTGTGAGACATACAATTCGTATCAGGTACTCAGAGCCCTGCAACTGCTGTAAACTTGTTTTTGTCAATTATGCTAAGAAAAACCGTTGGG